CCCTTAACCCCCCCACAACCCTTCCTAAACCCGCCGACCTCGCCCCGCCTCACCCGCTACACCCACTCCTAAGCACCCGGTCCCGACCACGCGAATCTCGCCGCACTCGCCCCAACCCCCCTGATCCCGCCACCCCAGGAGGCCGTCGTCGCCCTGGGCCCCGAGTCCCTGGCCGCCCTCATCGGCCGCCTGCTCGTCTGCCGGGCCCCCTCCTCAGCTGCCGCGCGTGGCTTCAGCACGCGCCTGGAGCTGGGGCCCGGCCCCACGGCGCTCGCGCCGGCCGGCGACGGGGCGTCCGACCTGCAGCTATCGCTGCTGCTATTCCTCATCGCGGCCTGCGCGAGCGACGAGCAGAGCTACGCAGACGCTGGGCTGGAGGCGCTGGCGCGACAGGTCGGGGGGCAGGGTGTGGATCTGCATGCGCGCCGCCTGCATGCGAGCCGAAAGCCCCGCTTGTGCCTGGCAGAGGGTGGGGCTGTTTTGGCGCAGAGCCACTGCATCCTCTGAGCAGCGTGGGCGGTGGCCTTCACACGCATGCTCAACCCCCCGCCGCCGCACGCCCCACTGGCCGTCCCGGCCGTGCACCGCCCCTCCCCTGCACCGCCAAGGTCCTGGCGTCTGGCCTGGACGCCCGCCAGTGCTGGTGCCTGAGCGCCTTTGTGCTGGAGCACCTCATGGCCCACCAGCAGGGCCGCTACTGGCAGGCGCTGCGCCAGCTGCTGTCGCGCGCGCAGGCGGAGGAGGACGAGCGGCTCTTGGGCAACCCCTTCTTGCAGCTGCAGGCGCTGTTTGCAGGGTGACTGCAGGACGCACCCTCCCTCTCCCGTGTGTCCCGTGCGCCTGATGCTCCTGCGGGCTAAGTCCACTGCCGAGCCTGTGAGCGTGTGAGACTGTCGCCACGTCTGAATGCATGTGGCTTTGTAAACGCGCGAGCAAGTAGCCGATGCACTTAGGATATACTTAGCGACTCTCTGTCAAAGCCATGGGTGGGTCCCCACACTCTTCGCAACTGGCGAGGCACCAGCATTCTGTCGGCCAAATGCGATGGCGATGGCTGCGACCTCCCGGTGTCGTCCGTCACGCGAGAAGCCCAAGTGGTGCTGCCATCCTGCCCAAACATGGTAACATGCACGCATGGGCACATCACGCGCTCATGGCTGCCGGGACACTGCGTGCTGCCATTTTGTCAGCCCCTCGCACCGGCAGTCCAGAGCAGCTTGGGCGCCGGCAATACCCTCCGAAAAGCAATGATATGAAGCCTGACTAACCTGCGTTGGTTGAGACACGCATGGCGTCGCTGCTGGGTCACATGCCGCCAGGACACCAGAGCGTGGTGGCCCCTTTTAGTGTAGAGCAACATCAGGGTTGCTGTGCTCATCAGATGCGGCAGCAGTGTTCTGCCCCCCCCCCCCACGGACAGGCATGTCGGCGTAGTTATGCGGTCGCTGGATCAGGAAGGCAGGGGGCAGCAATGGCGCAAACATAGATCTCATTGGTGGCTTGCCCCTAGTTTGCTCACATTGCTGGTTTATAGGAGCCGTTACGGCGAGGTGCTAAATCTTTTGGCTGATAGATCATGGTTTCCGGGTGCCATCTGGTCTCACAACGCAAGGCTATCTGGACATCGCGACACCTGCTGGGTGGTGAGGGTGACGTGAATTGGGCAACAGCTCAGTCATTGCTTTTGCAACAGTCTGAACGGCGCTACCCCTTCAAGCTGCCAGGCTGGCAGAAGGTAGAGCGTGAGCCTGCCGCCGCTTCCAATGCTGTGAAAGAGGATGCGTCCATGATGTTCGCAGCCTTCAGCGGTGCCCTACTCACCCCAACCAAAGAGTGCGTGCCGCGGATGCGGGCTTGCATGAGGCAACCTTGCAACATGAGTAGACTGCCCGGGCCAGCGAAAGTCCTCGGAACGGAGTTGTCTCACTTTACCATCCAAAAGGGATGACAACGAGGACGAAGAAATGGGTGGGTGACCGAATATGGGCGATGCCGATGGATCAGCAAACAAGCGACTTACAATAATGTGAATGTGCTACTTTAATGAGTGCCTTGTTTTGGTCCGGGCCGCGGAAGAGTGTGAGAAGTTTTCTCGGGGCTCTATTTTTTGTGAAGCCGACTGCCACTTTCTGCCAAACCTGCACACTCCTACCTCTTGGCACGCAAGGTCAAAGAACCGCAACACAAGCACGGGCATAATGAGGGCGAATGGTGAGCGCTGCGCGAATAACAATCTGGCCAGGCCCGGGCTCGTGCCTGCGCAGCGCCTGAACTACATGCGAACTATTGATAAGTTTGTATGCTGCTTGAACTACCCACCCCATCACCGCTTGCCACGCAATGCCACACCCGCCACTGCCCGCTGCGCCACGCGCGCAGGTGACCCGCCAAAGGGTGGCGCCGATCCGGGTGCCAACAACGACGATGTGGACTTCAGCAAGATCTCGATCAAGGAGGCGCTCGAGCTGCTGGGTGTGGAGCAGCACGGTCTCACAGAGGAGGCCGCCGCCAAGCGCCTGAACGAGTACGGCCCCAACAAGCTGCCTGAGACGACCATCAACCCCTTCATCAGGTGCGCACGCGACGCTCACGCCCCTTGCATCACCGCGCTGATCCTCCGTCTTCAGCTAGCTCAGGCATGGATCAGAGATTAGTTTTGACCGCCATTATAGAAACAACCCTGGCTGCCTGCAGCGCCCCTGCTGAGGCGCGGTCAGGCGCACAGCCTTGCCGCTGCAGTGCGCCGCTGCGAGTCTGCTCGCGCTCTCCCTCTTTCCATTTTGGGCCGCAGCCGCCGCGCCCCCTCATTGCTCCTCTCATCTGCCTTGCTTGCCTGTACACATGCCTCCAAGACCATGACACACTGGCACATGTTTTGCCATTCAGAGCCGATATGCTCCAACCTGTCGCATATCCCATCCCTCCCCACCCCTATGCAGGTTTGTGGGCTACCTGAACAACCCCCTGAGCTGGGCCATGGAGGTCGCGGCCCTGCTGGCCATCATTCTGCTGGACTACGCCGACTTTGCACTGGTGGGCATACCTTGGGAGGGCGGCTGTGGAGGCTGATCAGGCCAGGTGCATTCAGGGGCAAGGGATGGGGCACGGCAGGAGGTTGCTGCCCGAGCACGGTTGGGGTGCACATGGTGGATGGATCGCCCACAGCGACAATGCCTCTTGCTTAACCGCTGCTCCAGCTGCTGCGGCGCCTGCACTTGGGGCTGGCAGCGCCCGCGGCGCGGCAGTCCGCTGCCTCCATCCGACGCATGCCTCCACCCCCTGATCACGACGTGCCACCCGTCCCCCTACAACTTCGCGACCGCTGCGCCCCAGATCCTGGGCCTGCTGCTTTTGAATGCCACGATCTCCTTCGTCGAGGAGTCCAGCGCTGACAAGGCAATCAAGGCGCTGGCAGGGGCCCTGGCGCCCAAGTGCAGGGTGAGGCGCCATGCAGAGCGCACCCATGGGGGTTGGGCGGCCTTGGCAAACATGACATGGCACCTGGCGCGGATGGTTTCAGGCGTGGAATGCAGCGACTTGGCAGGTGCTGCTGAACGCTGACGTGTGCATTGATGTTTGCAGCTTTGCTGCTGTGCAGCATGTGCAGCGACCCAGCTCACATCTTACGGTCGTGCCTGCCAAATCCGTGTTGCCCTGCCCTTGCCCAGGTGCTGCGAGATGGAAAGGCAAAAACTATGGACGCTGTTGAGATTGTACCAGGTGAGGTGTATGGGCCAAAGGCCTGGAGGTCTGATGCAGGCATCTGTCTTGTGCACGCCTTCACAATCGCAGCCAGCCTTGTGCATTGGGTTTAAGGCCGTTGTCGCCGATCCAGCCCCCGCCCCTGTCCCACCACCATCGCGTGTTGCCATGCGCGCCTCGGCGGCCTTGCTGTTGCATGATTGCCGTGGCAGCAGAGCATGCGAGCAGCATGCTGTCCTCCCAGCTCCCCATCCCATTGTTCCAACCCACTCGTGTGCCCTGTCCCCCAGGTGACATTCTGGTCATAAAGTTTGGTGACATCGTCCCGGCAGACGTCAAGATCCTGGGCGACGAGGCGGATGAGGAGGAGATTCCCATGCAGGTGTGCGGCTCAGCGGCCAGGGGTGGGAAACGCAGTTCTGCGCGCCGAACAAGGCCGTAATGCCAAACGTGTTGCCGTATGCAGCTGCCCGGCGGCTTGGGGTGAACCAGGATCTACCTATGCACGCGTTGACAGGCCTGAAAAGACTCGCGTGGCGCGCTTACCTTTGCTGGCCCCGCATCTCACCACCCCTCAGATTGACCAAGCCGCGCTGACGGGCGAGTCCCTGCCCGTGAAGAAGTTCACGGGAGATGTGGCATTCAGCGGCTCAACCTGCAAGGCCGGCGAGAGGCACTGCCTGGTCTACGCGACAGGTGGGTGAGGGGGGGGTGTCAGCGGCGTGGTTACAGAGGGGGCAGTCAGAATGTTTGAAGCCGTCGTCCATCCATTGTGATCATGGCACCGCAGCACTCTGTTGGCATGGTCTACCATACTTGTGGGTCGGCATGTCTTGATGACCGGCATGACGGGTGATCGCTTGGGGGCTGAGTGCCTTTCGTCTACTGCACCAACACCACGACACTGCACCGCAGGCATCAACACCTTTTTCGGCCGTGCGGCTGCGCTGATCTCCGCTACCAATAACGTCGCCAACATTGCAAAGGCAAGGCCTGAGTTGTAGATGCCCGGCGGCGATGTGGGCGTTATTGAGAGGCACATACATCCCTAAGCAAAGCTGCGCTTTGTTGCAAGTCGTGCACTGCAGACAAGACACTGCCCGCCCTTGTCAATGCCGCCCGCCCTGCTGCCAGTCATGACAATCTCATATTCAGCACCCCTTGCTTCGTCACTCAGGTGATGACCAAGATCGGTGCCATCTGCCTCGTCACCATTGGCGCGTGGATCGTCATCATGCTGGGCGTCCAGTTTGGGCGCTACAAGCACACGTGCTCGCTCGGCGATGGTATGCCAAGGCTTGTACTGGAGAGGGGAGGGACAGTCTCCCGCAAGCTTTGGCTGACAGATCGCCAGGGTTATCCGTTCTCACGATAATTGCCTTGATTTGGTGCAATGCAGGCAGTTGAACCCAGGTTTGGTTTCTGTCATTTTGCCTCCTTGCCACTCACACCACACATTTTACTCTTTCAATCAGCCATAGGGTATAACAAATGCAACGTCCACACCTCCTTATGTGCAGGCGAGTGCCCGACCCTCACCAACTTGCTTGTGATCATCGTGGGTGGAATTCCAATCGCCATGCCCACCGTGCTATCCGTGACGCTTGCACTCGGCGCCAGCCAGGTGAGTTGCCGGCAACCCAGGCAGCGGTTACCCTCACACATTGACGCAATGGCGCTGCAGCTACCTCATAAATCCTCGCCAGCAGTGTCATTCGCACATGTGCTCGTGGCGTCATACCCCCTCACATGTCTCCTTGGCATTCTCTCCCTGTACAGCTGGCCAAATCGGGCGCCATCGTGGCGCGCATGAGCGCAGTGGAGGAGATGGCTGGTGAGCGCAGCGTGCGGGAGGGCGTGCTTTTACGCTAGATTTTGCTCGGCAGCGCTCCTCACGTGCCATGAGTTATATCAGCTCATCAGCCAAACGTGGTGCGTGCTGCAAGCAACACATGCGACATTACCACAGCCCTAAAACAACAACTCTGTTCCTTGCTCCGCCCTGCCTCTTTTGCGCCCTTTATCACAATTGAAAACCAGGCATGGACATCCTGTGCTCTGACAAGACCGGCACGCTGACCCTGAACAAGCTTAGTGTGGACCATGCAGACCTCGCGCCCTTCAGTGGTGGGGGCTGGGGGGGGGGGCTCCTATGGGGTCGAGACCGGCCCAGATCAAGGAGGACGGCAGCCACGCACACATCGGCAGCAGCTTGAGCGCACCAGGCGCTCGCCAACTGCCTTGTCACTCCATTCAGCCACCCTCATCATGATCAAGGCCGTCAAGTGCCTGAGCTTCACTTCAGCACCGCCCCATGCAGAGCCGACCCGCGCCACCTACATCCGGCGCCTGCCTGTTGACAGCACCCGCCCTCCACACGCGCCCCGCGCGGCGCCAGGCTATGACAATTCCACCCTCCTCAAGTACGGCTGCCTGAGCAGCAACATCGTGACGGAGGAGGCCATTGACGTGGTGCTGTACAACAGCTACCCCGACGCCGCCAACGTCTGGAGTGGCTACAAGCTGCTCAAGTGAGGGCCCCGGCGCTCGCGGGATGACCGCCACCAGGAATGCACGGCTGCCGCAAGGCCGTGGTGGGGGTTTTGGCCGGTGCATCGTGGTGCAGGCAGCCGTTGTGAAAGCCCGGCCCTCTCTGCCTTCCAACACTCTCCTCCCACGTGCAGGTACGTACCCTTCAACCCTACCGACAAGTTCACAATGGCCGTGCTTCAGGACAACGCCACTGGGGCCACCTTCAGGCTCATGAAGGGCGCCCCTCAGGTGGGCCGGCCGCGCATTCTTGCAGCTGCCTTCAAGGTCTCGGTCAGCTTCGGGTGCATGCAGGCTGAGTCGCCCCGTCTGCGCACGGCCGGCTTATAGCGATTGGCTCGCCACTTCTTGTCGGTATCTGCCCGTTGACGTTTGCAAACTCACAACTCCTGCCGCAACCCAGGTGGTCGTCAGGCGTGCTCATGATGCTGCTGTGATCACCAAGCAGGTGAATGCGTGTTGTCAGAGGAGAGGGGCAGTTGCGAAAGGCTTGTTGTCAAGAACTCTCCAATATCTGTTGCGAAATCTCATGGCTGGTGCCATTGAGCTTGGCTTGCCGTTGGCGTGCATTTCAACATGAACAACCTGCTGCCCTTATTCTTCTCAGGTGGAAGCCAAGATCATCAACTTCGCCAACCGCGGTTACAGGGCCCTGGGTGTCGGCTACGCCGCAGGTAAGGGCTTGGCAGCGCAGCTGGGCTGCCAGCCCGCCGATCGGATTGCCCAGGTGGAGTCCTGAGCATGCATCGGCCAGCTCTGGGTGCAAGCAAGCTGGAACTCGCAGGTTGCAAGCGGGCACCCCTTGCGCCTTTCTTTGCCACCTTCAGGCGAGGGAAGCGCGGACGCCGTCGGCACCAAGTGGGAGTTCTGTGGCCTCGTGCCCCTGTTTGACCCCCCGCGCCACGACACCGCTGAGACCATCAAGAGGTGTGACACTGATTTTGTACTAGGCACTCACCTGTCTCAATATGGATGTGTGATTGTGCATGCTGTACAAGCAATCAGGCCCCGCAGCTCCCATGCGTCCCTTTCACCTTTGCGGAGCGGCTGTCATCCATCAGAGCATGTTTCCTCCCTTGGTTGCAAAGCAGTGTTTGTTTTGCCTGCACCGTTTGCTTGTCAAAGTTTTCGGGTATTCCTCACGACCTTACCCCTCTCCATTCCCCCCCGTCCCTGAGTATATCTACCCTCTACGCCTCCACAATACCCGCACCCACACCAAAGGTGCAAGGAGAAGGGCATCAGCGTCAAGATGGTGACGGGCGACCAGCAGCTCATCGGCGTTGAGACGGCGCGCCAGCTGGGCATGGGCCTCAACATCCACAAGATTGAGAAGCTGCTGCACGTGGGTCCCTGACTAGTTTGCAGAGCGCGCTGGGGCGGGGGTTTCCTTTGATGGGTGGGCTGGGTTGTGCCCGTGTGGTCATGGCTGAGCAACATAAGAGTTAGACGGGGTTCCTGTGCCAGCGGTGGATGCATTACTGGGCGGGATCGGCACACGCGCGACTTCAGACCAACATGCAGAAGTCCCCTGCTTGGGCCATGCACCTGGTAGTCTCGTTGGCAGCCCAGCTCCTGGCTGCTAGGTGGATGCAGCCACACCACCGTCGCCCTTGCACCACTCTTATCCTTTTCACTTGGGTTTGTCTTCTAAACCCGCAGGCCAAGTCCGCCGGCGGCCTGGTGGACGGCGTGGCGTCCGTTGATGAGCTGGTGGAGCAGGCCGATGGGTTTGCCGAGGTGTTCCCCGAGCACAAGTATGAGATTGTCGACATCCTGCAGAAGAGGAACCACATGGTGCGGCACCAGGCTTGAAGCAAGGGTGCCAACCTCAAGCAAAGCAGGGCCATTCGCACGGCTAGCAACACCATCGCTGCAGGGCAGCCTTAATTCGGGACAGTGCTGGGTGTTTTGATGTCAGAAGGGGGTTGCAAGTCCAGTGTTTTACCTGGGGGTGGGGCAGCCGCGCTTGGTTGCGCGTGCTTGCCATATCACCGCCTTTCTGACAGAAGCCGTCTGCGCGCTGCTTGACCCCAGGTGGGCATGACGGGCGACGGTGTCAACGACGCGCCGGCCCTGAAGAAGGCAGATGTCGGCATTGCTGGTAAGAAGGGTCGGGAGACACCCTGGCATGGCATTTCGGGGCGCCGTGGGGTGTGGGGCGACGGGCCTAGGTGCGTATGTGGCAACAGCCTGAGGGCATGTGCTGGCGTGGGCGACTTGTCCGCTTGCACGCTGGCAACGCGCATGCTGAGCCTAGAGCTCAGTCACCCTCTCACCACCGCCACTCAACCGCAGTCCATGGAGCAACCGACGCAGCTCGCGGCGCGGCTGACATTGTGCTGACTGAGCCTGGCTTGAGCATCATTGTCGATGTGAGCCGCGACAGCGTTCAAAACAGGCAGCGTCAAGAGGGCGTGTGCGTGCTGGGATATAACTGTGCTTGGCCAGTCATCGCACTAGGCTCTCAAGGGCGTCTGATTCTGGGCACAACAGAGGTTGCTGTGCGTCACCCCCTTCCAACCGCCATCAGACATCCTGCCACTCCCTCAGCAACAGCGCTTTCAACCCCTTTGTCCTTCGTTTGCTGCGCCAGGCTGTCATCGGGGCGCGCAAGATCTTCCAGCGCATGACCACGTACGCCAAGTACACCGTGGCGATGACGTTCAGGATCTGCTTCACGTTTGGGCTGCTGACGGTCCTGTACAACTGGTGACCGTGCTCTTCTACCGCCACCGATTGGGGATCAAGGGTGTGGGTTATCTTCCCTTCTGGTATTGCTTGTCGAGACAAGCGGAAGCCTCGCCCTACGTTGGTCTGGGAAGGCGAGGCAACTGTGCCAATCTTGCAAACGGGTGCCCTGAGGTCATCAATGCCGCGCTAAGGTGTGCTTGTGTTGCGCTTTCACAATCAACACTGCACACGGGCTGCGGCGTAACCCCAAACAGGTACTTCCCCACCATCCTCATCGTGCTGCTGGCCGTGTTCAACGACGGTGCGATGATTGCGCTCTCCAAGGACCGCGTGACGCCCAGCCCTGCTCCGAACAGCTGGCGGCTGCGCAACATTTTCACCGTTGGCATCGTGTACGGCCTGTACCTCACGCTCTCCTCCTGGGTGCTCTACCACGTGAGCTGCGCTTTATTGCATTGGCAACCTGCTCGCATTGCTGCATCACCTGCAGGCGGGCTGATGCGAAGCTTGGCCGCCTGCCGCTCTGGACCCTTAGCCGACTGCTTACCTGCGGCACTGGGTCACCCACGTGCGTTTCCTCCACAGGTGGCGGCAAAAGACACGTTTTTCCAGAACCGCATTGGCCTCTTCAGCCTGAACGACACCTGGGAAGAGTTGGTGAGAACGGCAGCGCGGGCTCGAGGGAGGGTTCACAGCGCGCGCAGCTGACATCGGTTGGCAGCGAACCACAGGCAGCGGGTGCTTATCCTGTCATACGCTGACCCACGCCTTTCTGTGCTGACACACTGGCAGGCACCCCACTGCGCGGGCATTATCCAGGGCCTTGGACTCGCCCCGAACGCCCCTGCCAGCACGGTGTGAGGGTGGGCGAGAAGGCGAGATTTTGCATGTGCGTTTGGCCAGCAACAACCACTTGCTTGTTCACACCCGTACTATGCAGACCAGTACGCAAGCTTGCTGTGAACCCATCTCAACACCGGCTGATGAGCATGCCACCGCTGCTCCATACTCGCACTTCCAGCTCTATCCAGGCCTAGCGAGCCCCGTCACCGTGATTGAGCAGTGTGCTGCAGAGCAGCGGTACGTCAGGGGCGCGCAGCTCAGGTCTCTACTGTACAACCAGGTGGGCACGGCAACTCGGCTCCGGGTCCTGCACGCCTGAGACCTGAAGATTGCTGACATTGGAGGTGTTGCTCCTGGCGGTGCAACTTGCATTTACGTGACCCAAGTCAAGTGGCCATTACCTCGCTCAGCGAGCTTGCCGGCATCCCGCAGGTCTCTATATCAGGCCAGGCACTTGTGTTTGTGACGCGCTGCTCAGGCCACTCTTTCTTGGACCGAGCTGGCACGTTCACATACCTGGCCTTCTTTGGGGCTCAGGTGGGCACGGGTGTGGCAGTGCCAACGCTCCCATGCTTGCCTGACTATAAACCTGTTATTGCTGCCTCTCCCTGCGCGCGACGCGGCAATTTAGTGCACCAAAGATATGCGTTTGCACACAATTTGCAGCTTGTGCACACAGCTTGCTGCAACTTGCGATAATCCTGAGGCAAATGTCATCTGAGTTCCACCCTCAGAATATAGCCTTTTCTGGTGTCTCGTTCTGCACAGGTGGCGTCGTCCCTGATCGCGGCGTTTGGCTTTGGCGGGTACCCTGCCCCACCTGGCGCCCTGGCCAACTGCAAGTTGTGCGCGCAGAGCAACGGCGCGATGGTGAGTTGAGCAAACGAATGCAAGCAGCGGAAAACAAGCCAGCCTGTGCCTGCTCCGAGCTGATTGACCCGTCTCTGGCTGCCCCTGGACTTGTTCTGGAAATTCTGGATTAAGCAGGGTGCGTGCCCTTTTCATGCATGCCGCACGCTTGCCCCGCTGTCTCCCTCAGCCCCGCTTTTTCTCAAGCGGCGCTGTCCCTGTCGCGGGCACTGAGGCCACGTACACTGCATCTGTCATCGGGGCGGCCGAGTGGGTCGTCGTGGCGTGGATCTGGTGAGATTGGCTGCTATTGACAATGCCGATGTTGTGATGGTGCAGGTGATTGATCGATGCACCACCTGAGCTTGAATCGCAGCAGCTTGCTCCGATGCAGCTTGCACCCTGAATATCAATATTGCTCTGACATTTTGCGGAGAATGTTTTGTGCTCTTGCGTCCGCAACAGCCCACCGAGACCTACTCGCTTTGGAACCTTCTATAGGTCACTGCTGTGGCACCTGGGCCTGGACCCCATCAAGTGGTTCATGGCCTGGGTCCTGAACGAGGAGGGTGTCCGCAGCCGCTCCTCGTACGCCAGCTGGCTTAGGCGCAGGGCCCGCGACCCCACCAAGACTGGTGCGCTGCTAGCAGGCGCAAAGAAGTGCTTGGAGGGGCCATGTCATTGCGTGGCAGAGCATGGTCAGGTGGTGGGAGACACCTTTGGGGTTGGGTTCGGGCATTTTCAAGTAATTTCTGCACCAGCGCATGTGCCTGCATGCAAAGTGTGCTTTTGCAATCTGTGTGCTGCTGACAATCCACCGCAATTGCCTGCGCCTTACAGGTGAGGAGACCACCATCCAGGTCGGTGGCGCGGCGGGCAACTACGCCAATCCCCTGGGGCGCACGTCGCTCGTCAGCAGGCCGTCCCCCCAGATGCTGGCCAGGGCGTCAATCGTCAGGGTGAGTTGGGGCTATGCACGTGTGGCTAGTGGCACAAGGGATGTGTGGCAAAGGAAATGCATCACAGTTCCAGCGCGTTGTGCTTCCAGGACGCCTGCACACCCGCAATAGACATCGTACTTGCACGCGGGGCGGAAGGTATTGAGCGCCGTTGTGCGTGCAAGTGCACATGAACAGTCAAGACAACCGTGTGGTGCAAGTGTGAATCATGTGTGCAAAGCTGTGAATCAGCCAGTTTTGACACGCAGCCCAAATTAATGGAATTATCTTTGGTGTACATCAAACCCAGGTCGAGTCTGCACCCGACACGGGGCTGCGCCGCGTCTCGTTGGGCCCATACCGTCGGGCGTCAGTCGAAGCGACACCGCACCTGGTTGCGGGTGCATCTCCCACGCTGGCGCAGCCCAATCCCATCCGCCGCCTGTCTGCCTCGTCCCGTGCGAGCGGTGCCGCCGCTGCCGCCGCCGCGGCTGCTGCTGGAATTCGCGGCGCCCGGGGCTCATTGGAGGGCGCGCCGCGAAGCCCAACTGCACAGGGCAGCACGCGCCAGTCGGTGTGATGAGAGGCCACCGTTTGAAGGTGAATCAGAAGCGCGGGCAGGTGCAAAGAAGGCGTGCCAACAGGCTTGAATGGCTTGACAAGTATCAAGGCTTGACCACATCTTGGGTGTCAATTTGCCCACTGCTGCGCAGAAAAGCGGGCCAGCTTTATGATTTGTGTCGCTGCTTGGAGTTTTCCTGGTCTGAGCGTGATTGATTTGCAGCTCCACCTGTCGGACATTGGACAGAATCGTGCCACCACACCACTAAAGGGCAGTATGCATTTGCTCAAATGCCGCATGAAGTGTCGCGGCAACGTTTGGTATCTTGCGCTTACGCAATGTTCTCAGTGATTGATCTTTCCTGCTTGATTTCCTCCATGGACCATGGGAGGCTCTAAACTTGAAGGGGTGCTGAGCGATGCTTATCAAAAGCATGCACGCTCATGCGCCCTAGAAGTGCAACAGGCTCCTGATCCTGTGAGGCCGCTGGACAGCTTGCAATGCGGCTTGCAAAGCCAGACCCTTTGTCCCTTTGTAACCTACCTGCAACCACCCCTACATTCACTCACATATGCACGCAGCACCCCAGGATGCGAATGACTGTCCTAGTCAGCTCATTTGCATTGGATCCTTGACATGAAAACGTAGGCACATTTGTCACTCAGGGGATGTGGGCAGTCACGTCGGGCAAAGCGCTGGCAGATGACTGGGCGCCGAGCAAGCCGTTGCATCGCACTTGTTACCGAAAAGCAGAGGCAGAGCATGCCCGGCGCCCCAGGTCGGAGCGACCACGACAATGAAGCAGCCGTTGCTTTACGTTTGATGCAGAGCGCCAGATGCAGATCATGTGGCCAGTCACTGAAAACAACTATGTTTGTTTTGCGTTTGTTACACATCATCAGATGTAGATCATGTGGCCAGTAACCAAGAGCAAGGATCTGGCAGACACACATGTATCACGCAGGGCTGCTGCTATGGAACACCTGCCTGGCCCTGCCGCCTGCGGAGGGCGGCAGACGTCTCGCTAGCTGCGACGGCGCTGCAAGCCAAGATTGAGGCCCGCATGCTGCACCCGCAACCGCGCCCATGGAACAAGCTAGCGGCGGCAGATTTTGAGGCGGCGCTGCCGGGGTTGGCACTGGCGGCCATGCTCACATGCCTGCCGCCAGCGTGGGTGGCACGCTTCCAGGGCCTGCCTGCGCGGCTGGCGCCGCTCTAGGCTGCGTTGCGCGTTGCGCGCCCGCACCGCCTCGTCGCGCCAGACCGGATGCTGCCACAGCAGGTCGCGATCTAGCCGCTGGCCGGCACCCGCCTGCATGGCGCCTTCGGCGGGAGCTGCTGTAGCTGTTAGGTGGCGCCAGGCGACAGCAGCGTGGGGCGCAGCACGCTAGCTAAGGGATCTGCGCCCAGCAGGTGCTGGGGCCTCGTTTCTAGCGGACGCACCGGCGACGTGGCGTGCAGCTCTGGCTCAGCGCCCGTCACCGACAGCCAGGCTGGTGAGCGGGGACGGCGCGTGGGTGCGCCACGCAGACCAAAGCGCAGCTGGCCCCGCAATCGCACGCCTCACGCCGTCCACACGGACGAGTGCTTGCTCGACCCAGCCCCGGCAACAGCTCCACCAGCTGCAACTGCATGGAGGGATGCCTGTGTTTTTTCATGGACAGTCGGTTACACGGGGGTAGCGAGGTCCCAAGCACCTGCGTGCAACCTCCAAAGGACAGGTGAGCCCTGGCTACGTGATTTCCTGTAACAAACGCAAAGCAAACTATGTGCAAAGGGGCGCATGTGTGGCCAGACCCCCTGCGAAGGGCCGGGCGGCGGGGGCCCAGGGCCCTATGCCGAGGCTGCGGCCGTGGGATCCCGAGCCGGACGCCGAGGCGCCCCTTGAGGATGTCTACCTCGTCGGCCCCTGGGCCCTCACGCGCTTCGACGTCTCCTGTTTGCTTTGCGCTTGTTACATAAAATCAGACTTGGAGCTTGTGGCCAGTCACCGAGAGCAAGGATCTGGCAGACACACAGGTACCAGGCAGGGCTGCGGCCGCGGGAAACCCCAAGAAACCGCCATCTTCCAAGCCACAACGCCGCAACCCTTCCCCCAACCTCAAAGTCGTTTGGGGCAGAGGGGGGGGAGCCCGGCACCACGCGCAAAAGCGGGGACAAATGCATGACACGCGAGCGATCAAAGCAGGGCACGGGGCGCGCCAACCCGCAGAACGCACACGGCCACAGCGACCGCGGCTCCGGGGCGCGCACCACCCACCCATGCAGAAAACCCCTGGCCAATTGAGAACAGGGTCGGCTTCACACAGAGCCCCGTTGGCCCCTCTGCTAGAGGCAAGGTCTTGAAACACATGCACTCCAACGCCCCCTGCTGCACCGTCGCCTTGCTTACGGTCCGGCAATGATCACTACTCGCTCTCAGGTGGCATTGCGCGGTGTTTTGCGCCCGGTGTACGGCCCCCCGGCGGGGGCGGGGTTTCCTCGTAAGTCCTTGAGGGGCTGGGGGGCTCGCTCCGGCTGCTGGCGTGTGGTCTCACCACGCGCTGGCGGCGACGCAGAGAGAGAGAGAGAGAGAGAGAGAGAGAGAGAGAGAGAGAGAGAGAGAGAGAAGAGAGAGAGAGAGAGAG